TATATTTTAATTAAGCTGGAGAAAAACTTGAAATTGTGTCCAACTCCAAAATAAAATTATTCTATCGATCTAGCCCATAATTCAAGAGCAGCATACACATCTCAACAGGTATAGAGAGCTAAATAAACTGAACACAATGTTTTACAGGTATTTTATATTCATTCTTCTCTAGCCTTTCTCAACCAATAGCCTCCTGCTGTATTCTGTACAAGCCCCAGAATTCCTACCAGTATTGATATTCCAGAGGAGATCTGGGATTAGACTACAGTATAAATGTAACTGAAGGTGATTAGATTAGGAAAAATTAATTAAAATATTATGAAATTCTATGTTGCACTTCATCTGAATTTGTTTTCACAGAGATACATCTTCTACTTCATGGAGCTAAGATTCAGCATTTTCTGCTAGAATCTGAGTTTCTCACCTGTGCTTAAAATTCATACTGATATCTGAAATGCATGTCTCTAGTCAAGTATTTCAGTGGTAAGACTGCAGTCCAAAACATAGCCCCTAGTTCCCATATTGCACTAAGCTACAGTTTTGTTTTTTGCCCAAGCCTCAGTTGCCTGGTTTACAAATTGTGCTGAAGCAGAAACCATGGTTAATAAAACATAAATATACCAAACATGCTAAAATACACTCAGTCAATCAATAACTAGGACTGAACTTTAATGAAATTGGTGAGATCTGTTATTAGTCTGCCACGTCTTTGATATGTCAAAGCATGTCCTATATCTTTACAGTAAACACAGTATAAAATGCTGAACTTCTATTGGCTGAAAAACTGAGACCTCAAATACAGACTTGAGCATGGTTTCAATATGTTAGGTTTATCCACACGTTCCTGTTTAGCAGGCCACTGACTTCAAAGGAGAAATCACAATGGATTAAAAAAAGCCGTACTGACCCACGATGCTGTGAGAAAAAATGGGGTGAGGTGGGGAGATCAAATAGGTATTCTGCCCTAGACTTCTTGGAATCTGTCACAACAAAAAGTAAAGTTTTCTGCTCAAGGCAGACTAACAAGACCAACAAGCAAAACGCCAATTTATTTTGTCAACTGATTTTTTTTATTATCAAGATGTTTCAAGTTAATTTCTTTGAAACAAGTGACAGGAAATACCTATGCTTAAGTCTAAAGTGATAAAACTAGGTACAGACAGGTATTATGTATGATCATCGGCTTTTAAGAAACCTCTAAAATTAACCTACATATCTACAGAACAGTAGCTGCTTACGCTGCTGCAGTTTATTGAACTAAGAATTATTGCTAGTATCAGTTTCCAATAAGGAGCTTATCTATAATTACAATTTGTCTCCCTTTCCAAGCAATTACTATTATTAACACCTTACATACAGTCCATCATCCGATACCCTGTAATAGCCATAAGCAACAGTAACAGCCAGACTGCTGGCTACTGCAGAAATGTTTTTTCTACCAACCAAAAAGGGACCGTCTTTATTTTCTATTCTGGAGGGAGAAAAAAAAGATGCTACTGGCACATACCATAATGTTAGAGCTCTAAGAATACAGAATCCTGCATAAACTGCTACTAAATTGAATGTTTCAAGGGACACTGCTGCATTCTCTCCGTAGGAAGAGAGCTTACGTGCATACCACAACTCATAACTCCACTGAGTCCCATGAGGCTTCTTTCAAGGACATAGATATTGTACTTCAGCCTGAACTTCCCGCAAGCAAAAGCCCAAACACACAGCCCAGTATAAGGTCCAAGCATGTTAATTTGAAACCCTCCGGCCCCTTTACACTGACCTGCATGTCACTGCTGTCCAGTGCTCCTGGCAAGACCCTGGAGGAAACGTCTTTCTTTTTTGGAAACACATCACTAGTTCTCACAAGAGCTCCTTGCTTGCAACATTCATCATCTTGCAACGTGCACTGCTTTTTAGAAGATTGCTCTTTACAGAAATGGACCAGAGTAATATTTTTATGGTTCAGAGCTGTAAATGAGGACTGGCTTGATTTCAGAGACATTTTTTTTTTTGGCTTTCCTATCACCTTATGGTGCTGACAGCCAAATGAAAGAATGCTGGTTGCTTCATTTGGTATTGCAAGAATTCCTCCTCCTCTGCCCTTCCTACTCTCTGGATGGTTAGATGGTTGCGTGAACCTTTAGACTTCTCCCGTACCCATAGATTATGCCTGGCTGTGCATGGTTACAAATAGATTTAATTTTTTTCCCACCCATTGTCAGCCTCGCACTCATTGAAAAATGGCATTTAATACGATTAATCTTTGCACACGGCTCTCCAGTGTCCTCAGCCAAGGCTGCCTTTCACAAGCTTGTCAAATATGGCCAGGATGAGGCAACCCAATGTATAATTAACTCTGCCAGCCAAACTTTCTTTCCTCTTCAATCAGAAGCATGTTCAAAACACTGTGAACCCAGATTTAAAGAGATCAATTTTTAAACATGAAAAGGGTACAATATATATTACAGTTTTGCTATGGGATAGAACAGAAAATGCAAGCTGTGTGATGAAAAGTGACCAACCCTACTACCAAATGCAGAAGGAATGAAAATATCAGCTAAAGGTACTTCATAAGTTCTATCTAGCTAATAAAAAGGGTCTGAGTAAATGTTATTTAGCTTTTCTTTCTTGCTGCAAGTTACTCCTATCTTAATGACTTCTGAAGTCTGCAAGCTTCAGATCATGAATCTGGGGCACTTTGTTCTCTATATAGAATTCCATTTCTCATTGGGTTTACTGGATGAATCAAATCAAGCTTGCTATTATTTCAAAGTTCAAGAGATGTTTGTTTTCATCAAACTCTTCTGAATTTGCATATGCTAGCTGGAACACTACTGTCAGGCATCTAGCTCCCTAGTATTTTATCAAACCAAGCTACCTTTGTCCATGCCACAACTTCAGCAAGATTTCATTGTACTTTCTTAGGATAGCCTCAATATAACTTTTCTGGAGAGTCTTAGCCATTTTCAAAATCATTACTAAAGTATTCATCCCAATTCTCCAGTCAGTGAGAAGCTCCCTGGGGCAGTTTTAACATCTTTTGAAATAAAATTATGGCAGATTTACTGGCATGTTGTACTGTTTGTGTTTATTTGCACATATGTAAAGTGAATATAGATGCAGGCACACAAACTAGAAGCAGGGAATTTGTGGACCTGCAGATGTCACTGAACTACAATTCCCAGCATGCTTCATCATTTGCCATGATGGTTGGGGATACTGAGCTCATAGTTCATTAACATCAAGAAGGCCATGCATTCCCTGCTCGTCTCAAATGCTGCACAGCCCAAGTTCATCAAATATCTCTATCCTCTTCTCCGCCCGCCATACTTACCTAACAGTTTTCTGATAATATCCTTCCCCAGTGTTCCTAAATCTGCAGTTTCTCCTCAGATAAGAACTTGCATTAGAACATCCTCAAGTAGAATGAAGGAGAAGACCTTCCCCTGTTTTTGATGTCTCCCCTTTGATTCATACCACAGCTTAAAGGAAAAATGTTTTTCCACATAACCACAGAAAATGTTCTTACAAACTGTAGCATGAAAACAGCTAGCCTGATCTTGGAGGAGCAAACACACCCCCTTATAATCTTTTGGATCCTCTCACAATAAAAACTTCTTAAAAGGCACTAAACAATAGGAATGCAATTTGAACTTTAGAATAAAACTGAAGAAAGGGAAAATATGTTTAATAAGAGAATAGAGATCAGGTGTGTTTATGCATTAAAGCAGCTTATTCTCTAAAATAGGATGCCTCTACTATAAATATTTATCAAGGGGAAACACATGGTTAGGCAGCATTTACAATATCCTAATTCTGGTTCTATTATTAGGCATATCATATCTAGATAGCAAAAATCCAGATGACCACTAAGCAGTAGTAAAGAGTTTGAGCCGCTGACTGGTGATCATTCAGAAGTGTGCAGCCCAGATATGGTAACCTTATTTCAAGAGGAGGAGGAATCATCTTATTTTAAAATGAAGCATTATTTGTTGGTTTAGAGAAATAAATTCAACAGATGCTTCCCTTAGAGTTGTCCATTTTGTGGAAAGAGCCACAGTGCTGGTTAGAACACAGAAACTGTGTTTACATATCACACTAAGCTATGTTTCATACACTAAGCCATAAACTGTGGATTTCACTGCCATTCTATCAGTTTTAAGACAAGGATGTGAAAGATGTAGCCCTCCAGATTTTGTGACTTGCACTCATGATTCCCAAGCATTAAAAATGGAAATTGTAATCCAAAACACTGAGATGATCTCTGTTTTCCTATCTCTGTTTGGGCTTGATGATGTTGGATTACAACCTCTATCAGTCCCCACCCAAAGACCAAGAAAGACAGAAATTACAGCTTTGCAACATATGGAGAACAAGTGCTTTTAGATGATCGTGATAGATACAGATCACTGTGTATCAGTTTACAAACTGAATTTCTAGCCCAAATGCATGTTCAAAAGTTCACTGTCTTTGATTCCAACATGTCCAGGAAAGCAATTAAAATATAACATAATTGTCTAGAGAACGAAGATACAAAGACAAAGCAATGGATAGGAGTTAATATCATGTAAGTCTAAGATTATATCTAAAAACTTAGGACAATGCACATCAGAGAGTGCTGAATCCAACAGGCCCAGTAGGCTGTTGCATTCCATAAGTAATAAAAGATTTTTACAAGCCTAAGGAGGAATGTAATGCAACTTTAAAAGTCCTACAGTACACGCACATGAATCCAAATGGATATTTGATGCCTATCACAAAATGTTGCTGTGCTTGTGATTTTAAAATATGGAGCCAACTGGGAAAACATGAATGCAAGTATAACAGAATGAATATAATTCACAATAAAAAATCTAGCATCATTGAAGAGCAATATTAGGTTCATATTTTATACTAACTCCCAATACAGTTACTTCTGCCTTAGTAGTTTTTGGGGGACCCAGTCATTTTGACTATAAACCATGTTGTATGGATTAGTGTGGTTTATTAAATAACAATACTTTATTAAATGAACATTGCTAAACCACTGTTAAACTTTGGTCTCATGCAATTATATACTCTTACTCTTATCTACTCTACTAGAGCAATTGCACAACTGTTCAAGATATTTTTCTTCATTCCTAATTTTTCCAGGATTACAATGAATCATGGACATTAAAACAAAAATAAAAATAAAAAGTTGCTTCCTCACTGTATTTTTCAAGGCCTTTTTTAAAGGAAATAGCGCGATGCACTTATAAAATATAAATGCTAACTACTGAAGTTATGAAAGACCTATTTCTATGGCTTCATATTACTCTGTCCTTTAGGAGTACAACAACTGCGTATTTAGTCTTCAAACGATTTCTACTTTGCAACAATCCTGGAATGTCCCTATTTTCTTAACCAAGTCTTGCAACTCAATCCTGCACATGTTTACTCTGGAAGAAGTTCAGCTGAACTCAATGTATTGCCAAAAGCCTATACAGAATTACAACATCAACCAGCTTTAGATGCCCCAGCTTATTCACAGTGAAACATACACATTCAGTGTGGGGTACAAGAAATCTGACTAGTCTAGTCTATCAATATTTCTACTTACTGTGTATGCCTCTAATTTAAAATGTCTTCTGTTCAAAACATTTGAATACATTCTGGAAGCTAAGCATTCAGCATTTCACCATTGTCAGTACTGCTATAATGCATACCATGAGAAAAGCAAAAGCTGACAGCTCTACAATCAGGAATTAAAAGCCACATGCTGATCACATGAAGGGACTTGTGTTTCATTAATCTAATTTGGAATGTAACAGGTTTATTGCATGAAATTGCCTGCGTATGTTTTATCCAGTGACCGCAAAAATATCTAAATATTAGTTTCTAAGCATTCAGCATTTCACCATTGTCAGTACTGCTATAATGCATACCATGAGAAAAGCAAAAGCTGACAGCTCTACAATCAGGAATTAAAAGCCACATGCTGATCACATGAAGGGACTTGTGTTTCATTAATCTAATTTGGAATGTAACAGGTTTATTGCATGAAATTGCCTGCGTATGTTTTATCCAGTGACCGCAAAAATATCTAAATATTAGTTTGCTTGTGCCTAAATATGTGAAAGACTGAAAAAAGGGATTTTTTTTCATTATTTTCAGATGCCCTTTTCCCTGAAAACCTGAACAAATAATTATTTCTTTTTAAATTATAACATAAAACAATTTAGATAAAAAAATAAATTACACAATGTTAGAACACCAAATCAAGAAATAAACTAATACATGAAAGGACCTTGTCTCAGGTCCTTTCTTGGACTTCAGTTTTCAGAAGTCCAAGAAAATAATAACAATAATCTTAAAGAAACTGATAGTGATAGCATTCAGATTCAGAAAATAAAAGTAACTAGACATTACATGTGGTAAAATATGAATTCTGAGCTTTTGGGTTCCCCTCTTCCTTTTTCTCTGAAAGTTATACCTTTCTTTAATTCTCCAGATAACAGAATATTCTTTGTTTTATTAAAATAGTGATAATTTCTTGTTTTCAGTTTCTTCTGTTTTGCCTTGAAGGAAGAGAGCTATGTTAGTCTATGTTACAATTTCTATTTTTACAGAGTGAATATCTTAGATAACATCTGTATCCCTGCTCTTAACAGCTTAACAGAAGATATACCATTCTGATAGCATGTTAGTCTATGATGGCTAAAATTGGGAGTCTAGTAGCACCTTTTCCAACCAACAAACAAAAGGAAAGGGAAGGCAAGTTGGTTATGCAGATGCTGATTATGTATAATTATAGATTACAAGTAATTTATTAATTACCAATTGCAATACGTTAAAAACCCATTGTGTTTGTTGAGACTTTCTGGGGTTTTCTGAAACCTTTTGATGTATTTCTCACTCAACAGTGCTGTTAAAGTCCCACTTTTCCAAAACAGTGACACTGAGGCCTGTTATGGAGTAACCAGCGAGGCTGAAACACTCTGATACCACTTTGTTCTTGAGTTCTGATGTCAAGCTGGTATCTGTTAATTCTTTTGCACAAACCTTGTCTCCTTTGTCCTATGTAGAATCCAGAGGAGCAATGCTGGCAGATAATGGTGCATATCACGTTGGAGAAAAGAGGAAGAAAAACCTCTTTGAACTTTTAGAACTGTTTGTGCCAGCATTTGATTTGATAAGTTCTGTGCCTCTCCATTTTTTGTCTGTTGTCCTTTGACTTTTTAAATCAAAGGCTTCTTATGCAGACAGGGAGCAA